GGTTCTTGATGCTATGTCTTGAGATTTTAAATATAACTATATATTTCTGTTCTCTAGTGCTTAGCCATCTCCTTTATATTTCATACAGTCATTACCTCTGCCTAACACTCAGCAGATTGAGATACAACAGTAAATAAATGACTTGCCTAGCTCATCTGATTAGTTGATAACAGCATACATTAAAATGTAGATATACTGCTTTTCAGGATAAAATTTTTAGTGAACAGAATTGGGACATTTGAGACACTAAAATATTTAGACTCTCTTCATGGAAGTAAATACAAACCCTTTAAGATTTGTGTCCAGGCAGTTTGCACACCATGTGATATTATAGTGTCCTCATCATAATTCAAATTTGATTTATTAATCAAGATTCATTATCAATAGGAAACCTGACCTCATACAAATTCCTAGAGCCTGTCTGTTGGTTCCCAATGATTTATAATTTAAAGTTTTATACTTAATAAACCTTTTTTATATGTATTAAAGTATATACTGAGTAATTCAGTTTGACTTCTGTCATATTACATAGCTTTGATACAGTAGTCTGACCAAAAAAACAGTTAAATTTCGTTTGCCAAGAGTCACTAGAAATTGTAAGCTCTATCTTTCTGCCAGTGGGGCCTATGTTAAAAGAAATGAAATTGATCACAGGGGGTGAGTAACATGTTTTACCCATGGAATATCATGGCAGGAGCCTGATTTTTTTTCCCTTCTGGTTACCACTTTTTCTAAAAATCTGAGAAATATGTGATAAATATGTTTTAAAATAAATCATAGCTTTGAAAAGTGGTTGATATGGCATGAGTTCCTATTGGGAAAGAACAAATCTGTGTCCCACTGTTTTCCTCTAACAACTGAACAAACCATATATACTAAAAGCATATAGGAGACAGAGTGTGAAACAGGCATCTTTTTATAATGTGAGCTGTATCCTAATGGATTCATGATAATAATCATAGTCAGGCTTCTCTTATTTTTTTATATTCAGTAAAAATAACTTCAAATTTCCATAAGTATGTATCTGCATGAATTTAGAATTAAAAAAAGAATGAGAGCATGGGGACTATAATCATTAAGGTAAGTATTATTCAAATATAGGGGACGATGAGTTAATAAAAGATATTTAAAATTAGGAAATTTTAGAATGTACCTAAGTATTATATGTTTCATAATTACCTGCTTCTCTCGTAATAACATACATGGAAGTTACAGGCACTTTAAGAATATGTGACACTTTGTGTTCCTCCTTGTGCTCTGTGGCAAATGTGTACATTGAATTTTAAGCCTTGATAGCCTAATCATTTCCCCTATCTAATCAAATGTGAAATTTTTAACTAAATTTTACCATAGAATCATGCCCAATTTTAAGAAATAATACAGAAATTATGCTTTTAGACTTTAACCAATAACACCTTGCAAAGATAGCACAAACTGCAAATTGACACTGATAGAGTCACCAATCTTAACTGGATTTCACTAGTCTTAGGTTCATGTATCCATCACCACAATCAAGGCATAGAAGAGTTGCATCACCAAAAGAATCTCTCGTGATGTTCTTTTATAGCCATTTCCATATCTGCCCCACTAGCATCACCTCTTACTGTCCTTAACCCTTGATAACAACTCTCTTTTCATCTCGATAATTTTGGTATTCCAAGACACTATATTAATGCATTTGGCCTTATTTTATAGAATTTTTGTGTTTGTTATTTTATATAACCTTAGTATTTGTGTCTGCTATTGAAATATACATATGTGACTCATCAGAATCTATTAGAAACACTGGAAATCATACTTCCTTTAACTTCCTTTGCCCTGCCCACATTTTCCCAAGTATTCCTTTTATATCCATTGAACACAGTATCGGTTGATGTTATTAGCTGATGTTATACTGGAACCAAGGATGAATATCTTATCATCACACAGGTCCTGAGACTTGTCCCTACCTCATTGCCTCCCTCCCTCCTTTCTCCCTTCTCTCATTCCACTCAGTTTTCTTTCTTTTTTTTAAAATCCAATTTCTGCCTTTGTTCAGACTGAGTAAATTCTATTGTTTTGTCCTTAAGGTCACAAATTCTGCCCTCCTGAGCATGATTCAGTAATTACAATGGTTTTTTAGTTTTGGTATTGTATTTTTGACTTCTAGAAACTCATTTTTTTTTAATGAAACAGCATTGCATTATACCATAAGTTTTCAGTGTGTGTCATTGAGAATCATCATATATACTACATTAAGTTCACTGCTGAGAGTATAGTTCTGTCCTTCACCATATGGTTGTCTATTTGACCCATTTCCATCTTCCCTTTTGCTAACCACTAATTATAGTCCAAAAATTTATTTCTGTATTGCTTAGTTCATTTGTCTGTTTTCTTTATATATCATGTGTGACTTATAATAATGTTTGTCTTTCTCTGGCTATTTTTGCTAAACATAACACTCCAGGTCCATTAAAGTTACTGCAGATAATAGGATTTTATCATTTTTATAGATCAATAGTATTCCATTCTATAACACATTTTTTTTTTATTCATTCATTAATCACTGGGTATCTAGGCTTCCAGTTCTTGGTGATTATAAATAATGATATAATAAATGTGAGGTATATTTATCCCTTTCAGTTTTTTTTTTAAACCTGGTAAATACCCATAAGTGGGATAAATAGATCATATAGAATTTCTATTTGTCATTTTTTGGCGGAATCTACATACTGCTTACCATAATAGTTCTAGAATGTTTATATTCTAATGAGTAGTGTATAAAGGTTTCTTCTCTTTACATCATTTTTTTTAATATCTTTTCATGTGACCATTGAAAACCTATGTATGTTCTCTGGATAAGTGTCTATACAGTTCCTCTGCCAATTATTTGATTGGGTTGTTTTTTATTGTTGAATTTAATGAATTTTTGTATATTCTGGATATACATTGGATATTAGCCTCTTGTTGAAATTATTATATGCAAATACTGTCTACCATTCAGTAGGATTGTTTTTATGCACAATTCTTAACCTGTGCAGAAACTTTTAAGATTGCTATAGTCTATTTTGTTTAGTTTTTCTTTTGCTTTCCTTGTTATTGAAAATGAATCCTGATTTTGGTCTCAAAGACTGCTGTAAAGAAGCATACCACATATATTTTCTTGTATGTAACTTATTGTTTCAGGTCTGACATTCAACAACAGTCTTTTCATTATGTTTTTCTTGTTCAAGTTATGATTTTCCTGTTTTTGGGTATGACCAGTATGTTTGAGTTTTTGGGTCTACTCCTCTTATATCATGGACAGTTTGACTATTTTGTTAGGCGATGACTCTGGATCCTATTTAAATTTTCTATTATAATAGCAGTCATCCTTTATAGTTTATCAGGCAGTGCTACTTTACATTTTTGTGTTGTGGGTCTACCAACACTTTAATTATCAAAATTTCGCTGATACTATTTGGTTGGCTTGAATCATATTATTTCACTTGGGGTTTTGGTGATCTCCACTGTACCACCTAAGGGTGCAGTAGAACGTTCCAAGGTCAAGCTGTTTGTTGGCTAAGAGGGATAAGTGATTCTCTAGTTCAAGGAAGACTCACTTCTTTGGGTATTACTAGCAGGATCTTCACACTGTCCATGCTGCCCAGTTACCATTATTTCTAGGTTGAAAGGAAGAGTTTCTTGTCCAGTGTAGAAAGAGATTGTTCCTATGAACACTTGCAGCCAATGTTTCCACTTGATTGTTCTTCTGGGTGACCATTCTCCCCCTCTCCGAATTTATTAACAAGACTCTTATTTGAGATGCTATATTAGTGAGTCTCGTGAGATCACCTACTCTTTCTAGGTTGTAGTTAACAGAATCTAAGCCTGTACTGGCTTCCCTTTTGCTTGGGCAGTGACTGTGCTAGTACTCAGATCCTCATGACTCTAACCAATGTCCCTTTCTCTTTCAGCCTTTCAGAATGTTCTCTCAATTGCTTCTTGTTTAATTATAATTTATATTTTTACTCAGTGTGGTGTATATAATAATATTTAAATGTTTTTGGTTTTCCTCAAAATGGGTCACAAAGAATATATATCAGCAAGACTCATAGAGATCTTCTGTGAAAACAAGGGTACTGTGATGTTAAAGGTGGTTCGACCAAAGAATGTCTTCAAATATTATAAACATGGGCCCTTACTGGTGGTGCAGTGGGTTAGGATGCAGCACTGAAAGCTAGCTGCAGCTACCTCAATGCAAGTTCAATCCCCAGCCCCAGAGTGATCCACATGGCGTGGCAGACCTCCCTGACCTGCCCGCTGCTCCCCTCAGCAGTGTACTTTGTCGATCTGACTGTTCTGCACCCCACTCTGGCTCTGGTGAGGCTTCTCACCAACCCTGCACCGCTGGATTATACCCCAGTTCTGTATGAATATATAAATAAATCTTTTAAAAATATATATATAAACATTTAACACTTTACAGTAGAGGCACTAATAATAAGGGAAAATATAAGCAAATATCTGGGACCTCACAGGTGTCTTTCAGCTGAATGTCAACCCTGGTTTAAGTGAAGTTCAATATGTGTCTCCTGCAGAAAATCTTGTCTATGCTAATATTTATTATCCCTTTGTTGGAAGAATTCCAGTAGTTATAGCTTATCCAAATTTATCTGTCTATAGAAGCGAATTAATTTTATAGTTTTTCTTGGCACTAGTATTTAAGGAAAAACTGTGGAGAATAGACATTTTTATTATCATGAACAACTACCTCATCCAATGTTTTGTACTTGATGTAATTATTTAATTAAAAAGTTGTTTCTGAAAACATTAAGGATAATTTAATTCTAATTTTATATAAAAACATTTGATAAAATATTTCAATATAGTAAACCATCCTTTAAAACTATTTCAGGAAATAAGAGTTAGACACATGGCCAAAAAAAATGTTTAGTGTACTGTGCACAAAAACTTATTGTCTAATCACACTGACTTTTTTCTAATGGTTATATTTGTATTTTCAATATTTTCTCTTTTAGCTTTAAGGGACAATAGAATCGAACTTGTTCGGGCCTCCTGGCATGAATTGAGTATCAGTGTCAGCGATGTGTCTCTCTCTGATGAAGGACAATACACCTGTTCTTTATTTACAATGCCTGTCAAAACTTCCAAAGCCTATCTCACTGTTCTGGGTAAGTGCAAGGGACTAACACTATGTAATCACAAGCAGGAAGATGCATTTGCTACCACAATATGATTCACTAATAAATATACATGTTGATGATCAGCTTAATGGATGTTGTTTCTTCCTGACTATTTTAGGTTATCACAAAAAGTATTTAAAACATCACTTACTTTCCCCAATTTATAAATATATAAAGGGAGGATATAAAGATTCCAAGATCACACAACCCTTTTGTTTCCTTTTCAGCAGATTTCTGGTTTCTCACATAAAATCTTTGTATCAAATTATCTGTATATTTTACATCTAGTGATCCTTTCATAAAAGTGATAGAATAATGAACATAATGAATACAATATGTCTATAGGGTGTTCCTCCATTTTATATCAGTCACCTGATGGGAGCCTTCTCCAAAATCTTATGGCTTTTAAGTATGACCCTTCTGTATATTTTGGTGCATTTAAATGACCCTGACATTTCTATGTCTTCTTGCCTTTTCACTCTGTAGTTTGCTGGACTTCTAAATGAAATACATAATGTCACTTGTGTATGCAGCTTGTACCTTCTTTGTGCTTTTATTCTCTAAATATTGGGCCATTTTCCCAAAGGTTAAAGTGACACAAAAAGCAATACATTCATAGATATTCTGAGGAAATAAAGTTGCAGCTCAGAGCTCTCTGTGATTCTGCAGACGTCAGTGGCCCAATCAGCTGAAATTGCTGCAGTTCATTGAAACACACCTGTGTCCTGAACGAGTTAGAGGAATTTAAATAT